TGCTCCATTAAAGGTCCAGTGTGTAATGTTTATAAGGATCTATTGGCACGAACGGAATACAATATCCACAGGTATGTTTTCATTAGTGTACAATTGGCGATCGTAGTTTCTACCTTGCGCTTGGAAAGGGAGGGTGAAGCGAGTGAACTGCAATATGCAAATCCTATACACTGGTCCTGTAAAGGCTTCACTGATGCATGAGGTCGCAGACAGACAACCAAACCTGAATCTAAACTTTAGGAACTACACAGCACATCGGTCACAATTAAATTTTTCAGCTTGATTAGGAATTGGTTTCTTCTAACACACCTGAATGTGTGTTTGCAGAGCCAGGAGGTTGCCGAAGTGCTCATGAGCAAGACATTTGTTACCGCTGGAGTCTTTAGTAGGTTTAAGATCTGAATATTCTCTATATATTGTTATATATATTGTTTTCTGAACAAAACTCAGAAGAACATGACATAATATAAAAAAAACATCTTTATTACACCATATTTATTGTTTCAATGGAGTACAAAAATATAAGCACCCTCTTATTACATTAGTGTTCCAGTCACTTTATCCAGTACAGTAGTTGAGCTGTTATCAATATCACCCAAAGTGCTCCTCAATCACTTGTCACTTCACTGATAAACCATTTGACAGCATTTTGGGGGGTGGGGGTATATACTGTTGTTCATGTTCATACAGATCTTTTACAAACATAAGGTCATCTGGACTGACAGTTTCGGGGGCAGTCATCCTGCAATCATCAACAGGACCCATGAAATCAAAGTCTGACAGCAGGTCATTCTGCACTTTACTGCTTCTCATGTGTATATTTTGTGTTTTCTGGTGTCCACAAAGCCCACAAATAGAAATAACTGATTATGAGCATAATTAATCAGCACTCGTTTAAAGAATAATGACGACCAGGTATGAACAGGATGAAACAGAGGCGGCTTTTCAGGCCTCTGGTACAATAAGGTCCGATTCAAGCAGTGAATATGACTACCCTGGTTGCCAAATGATTATCATAAACACGTGTTATTTATACAAAGCCTGGATGACAGGTAGCCTCTCTAACTTACAGCAGTGACAGTGTTCGCATAGGTGCTACTTAAACACACTCAATCATTCACAAAAATTATGATCTGAGGACAAAATTGGGGACTAAAAAACAAGAAAAACATACAGCAGCTTTAAAATCAGTCAGTTTTAACTTCCCATCAGTGGCATGATTGCAAATATGGTTGTTGTTTTTGTGACTAATGTGGACAGGAGACGTAACTTTCTCTTTCATTTGCCACTGGTGCATCCAAAAAAACAAAACAAAACCGCCATTTTACCAACCAAACATGTTTTTAGACTAAACCACTGCGGTCAAATGTTGGTTGACTATAGTAAAGACTAGCTGAACCTTTCACTGCCACATTTTTAGCAGAAACCTGAATTACAGTCCGGTTTACCAAAATGATGCTAATGAATTGTATAGAAAGTGGATTCTGGAGCCTGAAGCACACCTGGGAATAAAACTCAGGATATCTCTGCCTTCAAGTTGATCTCTAGAAAGCCCCCAAACTTTATGGAAAAGCAGTACTTAAACGTCGGAGTATCCCTTTAACCTTGTTATATCTGATAAAGAGATGGATTTAGAACAGAAAAAAGACGCCTCATCCATGCAGCGGGATTTCCTGTTGGTGCTGCTTCCCCTCACGCCTGCAGAAGCTGTCCCACCAGGGCAGGGCTCCTCTCCCGGATCAGAGCTGATGTGATCTCAGCGACCTTCAAGACTGACCTGTCCCAACGCTCGGTGTCCTGAGAGAGAGAGAGAGAGA